GTAAACTAAGCATGCTTCATAATTACGTGATCAGGACCACTAGCATTGTTTTTTTTTCTTGTTCCTACAAAGGATATCTGTGTATTATATTATTAAGATATTATAGATTAAACGTCGACACCCCATCTATTCGTTCTGTATGTTTGAGAATAATGTGAATAATATGTGGCTTTTTTTGCACACAAATTATTATTTTAAGTCCCAACCTGACACTGAAAAGTGTTTGTTTATGGTAAATAAAGCAGAAATGCTTTAGTCCTACAATCCAGAGATAGTCCAGTTGTGTCATGCAGGGGAATAACATAATGCAGAGGATGATAATCAAGCTTAGTCATCAAACTCACCGAGCTTTATTCAGGTTACAATGCAGTAGTTGTGACAGAAAGCACAATGATGTTGTTTTCATTTGTCTTCTTATGCAGCACAGGGCTGGACTTCTTTAAAAGTGCAATCCCTTAAAGCCTGTAGTCTTAACAGTCATTGCAAAGCAATGTCAGTGTCAGACCAGTTAAGAGCATGTTTATTCCATGTCTGGAAAACTGGACCGCAGACAGCCATTTAGTGGCCTGATTCATCTTGTTAAATCATAGTGGACAGGTACTTTTGTGAAGTCTTAATTCAGTCGAAGGTGATGAAATCTCGGTATTTGAAACCACACAGGACCAAATGTTGAACTGCAACAATAAATCAAAATGTTTCCATGAAGAAAATTAGTGGCAGAACATTCTGACATTCAATTAATCCTTTTTAGTGATTTTTTTAAAAGAAGAAATGTCAGACATTTTTCTTTGGTTTTGAGCTTCTTAATTGTAAGGATTTGCTGCTTTTTGTCATTTTGCACAGAAAAGTATTTTGGACTTTAAACTAGTGGTTTGGCAAGAAGTGTAATATTGGTTTCAGTTCAGAAATACAGACACAAATACAGACACTGACCACAGTAGCTTCATCAGAAAAAAAAGAAGAAAGAAAAGAAAAGGAAAAGAAAGAATAACTAAGGATCGATACAACACGCCTGTTAATGGATTTCTTCATCTGTGTCATTCATTAAAGCACGTTCGAAATAGAAAAGGAGGAGTTGCAGAGACTGGTGGAGAATATTAAGAATGAGGAAAAAAGACCAGATAAAGTGAGAGTGCGGGGCTCCACAGATATGGATGGTTGGAGGGTTGATCGTCGCCACATGCTTTCTTGCCTCTCTGCCTGCCTCCGCTGCATGATTGCCTGGCAATACATTTGCATCAGAGTCGAGAGGAGCCGAGCAGAGGAGCACAGCCAGAGAAGTCTTTGATCTCTCAGCCCCTGTCTCTTTGATACACCATGTGGAAACACACCAGCAGATTTGGAAACGAGTAGATGATGTTGGGTGTGAAGTGGGTGTGTATGTGTGTGTGTGGGGATCTCTGCGAGGGGAAATCATGTACATAGCAGGAATGACAGTGCAAATCTGTCAAGACCTTGATTGCAGACCAAATGAGCACAACACACACATGCCTAGCGTGAGTTGCCCTATTTTGTTAAAGTCAAGCGCAGTCAAGCAGGAGTTGGGGGGAAAAAAAGCCCCCACCCCTTCATTCTTCAGGATTATCAAACATAAAGGCAGATCTGACAACCACAACTGTCAAGCAACAGATTTACATCCAACCCCATCACCCCCGTGCTTTCCTCAGAAAATGTCATTTCACATTTCTGTCTGGGTTCAAATTCGAGGCACTGAGATTATCTGTGGATTTTGACTCTGTGTGTGTGTATCGACAACACTCTCTGCCCCCATCCCATCGCCCGTCTCCCTTCCCCACCCAACTCTTTCTCCTCTAGTCCTTGCCCCCTCACCTCTCCTCCTTCCTCTCTTCATCTTCTCCTTCTTCTTCTCCTCCCTCCTCGTTCTCGTCTCTCCTCTTCCCCCGGCCTGTCAGGATGATTTCAGGCTTGTTGCGTCTGGCCTGACTTAGTGTGGCACGATTGAAGCAGTAATTACAACAGTCTCTGAATAGCTTTTCCTCCCACGGAAAACCCTCGCTACCTATCATCCCCAGGCTTAACCCCACTCTCCACGCTGACATGTAGGGGGCCAAACAACAGCCTGTGTAGAAACCATTAACCCACAATTAAATTACAATCACCGTAACAAAGGACGGGTGACATTTAAATCCACCAATCGAGGAGGGATTAGGAGCAAAGAGCATTTCTCTTGGGGTGTGTTATCATCTAAATATGACAGTGTGGATAAAGGAAATGTGAATTAATCAAATATTACACAGTCCCTACCAGTGTGGCAGTTTTGGGGTAGACTTAAATCCTCTACAAGTTAAGCCAAGGAGTATTACAGGGAGTGCAGAGCTTTTGCGACTCTTCACCTTAATGACATTAACGATATGCTGAACTTGGATGGATGTTCTCGTATCACAACTGGAAGAGGATTGAAAGGAAAGATGAGGCGAAGAACAAAGGCGGTTGGATCACAAAGCTGCCACCAATTATATCTGGCACCATTAGAAGAGAGCCCAGGGGAAATAATGACAAATTATGTACTACCTGGGTTAGCAAGAGAGATACCTGAGAGGCTGCTGCATGTAGCCAATGTTAGCCATTAAAATAAAATATATGTAGCATTCATTCAACTTTAAAAATATGCTGGTAAATTCACTATTACAATACTTACTGCTCAAAAACTGGTCAGGATCCTTTTTGGCTCCATTTTCAATTGATTTCAGACACTAACTAAGAAGACCTCAATAGGTCCAAATCATTAGTTATACAGTATATTCAACAAGACGACTACATTCTACAGCTATGCTTACAGCTTGGTGAGGCTGCATGATCACGTGCGCCGCTAGTAAGCACCAGAATTAGCCAGTTAACTAAATATTAATATTTTTAATGTCAACCCACATTAAGGTGTAACACTGCCATCTGTAACTAGTCAATGCTGTAGGTCCCACTAATTTCCCTTCTTTTTCTTTTCATTTTCTTTATATGTTACTTGAATTGGTTTACGTTGGTTACATGGGGACATAGACAAAAGAAGAGTAAAAGTACTGCAAGGAGTAAAAATAACACAAATGGCCTTAATAATGTGATAAAAAGAAAAAGAATCCTGCAAAGCTTGAAAAAAATTGGGTGATATAATATTCCTACATAAACACATCTCAATAAGGTTGAACACCATAAACTTGGGAAATTAATGTCAGCTCAGGTATTTGCTTCATCCTATAGCACAGCAAAAAGAGGGGTTGCTACCCTTATTCAAAGGCATGTCCCATTCAAAGTTGAAAAAGGGCATTATGTATTAGTGATAGGGAATATAGAAAATAACAATAAGTCACACTTTTGAATGTTTACAACCCACCAGGACATGATCCAGAATTTATGGTCAACCTACTGTGGATACTTGTTCTGGAGGCAAAGGGAGTAACTATCATGGGAGGTGATTTTAATATGATTATGAAATCAAACGATACCCAAAGCAAAGGGAAACATAAATCATTCACACTGCCCAGGTGTTAACCAGCACAGTGGATGGATGGCATCTTATAAGAGCAGCTCAATTAATAGGCTTTTTCATGTGTTCTGTGTTCACTTTGTGATTTGCTTTGTAATCCTGGTGCTTTTGTATTATATCCAGTGTTACGTCTGCCAGTGTTCTGTTTACTGCCTTGTGTCCCAACCCACCTGTGTCTCATTTTGTAATTAGTCTGACCTGTATATATACCCCTGTGTTTCCAGCAGCCCTCAGCCAGATTGTCATTGTTGCCTTCGTGTGTGGATGCTTTCCAGTCTTGCTCTCTTTGTGTTGCTGTGTTGTTGGTTTGGCTTACTGCACGCCCTCGCTGACTGCCTCTCTGTGTTTCACTTATGTACATTTAAGTAAAACACTTTTTCTGATAACTAGTATTTGTGTCCTTTACTTTCCTAACATCGGAGTTTGGTTTCGATTTGTAACAAAACTGGCCCGTAAACAATCGACCAGAGCAATGTGGTGTCACATTCAGCGAGGACATTAACCTGGACTGTGCGCTGGTGATGCTAGTCTTACTATCTGTAAACTTTTATTCAAACAGCAATTAAAAAGGCTGTTTTCTGTGTGTTTTCTTATGATTTCATTTTCAGTTTAACTGACAGGGAAATTAGTCTCTAGGAACGTCCCATTCTTTGACACAGAAGTGATTTGAGCTAAATGCTAACATCGTCATGCTAACATTATCAGAATGACAATGCACATAACTAGAAATATCTTGGCAATCCATCCAATATAAATACTCTGGAACAAAGTGTCGTCTTTGCTGTCGTCAGCTAGTATGATGATAAACTACCACAGCAAAACTGTAAAGACGGACAATTAACATTAAATAATAATACAGATTTGTACCTGTTCACAAAAAAAAGAAGTAAAAGGTTTCCAAAGGTCATTGGTCCCAAATTTGTTAAGGACTCCATTGGGTTATGAGCACCTAAAAGCTACAGCAAGCAAGCACACAAATCACAAAACGGTGACATTTAGCACCATGGCTAGTGTGACATTTTCAAAAACAACAGAAATTGATCAGAGGGATCGGTCATAAAACGACACAGTCAGAGTTGCCTGAGGGCTGAGGACGGCCAACATGGCCTCTGAAAGACATGCAGTGTCATCTGCACAGCACTGTGAGGTGAAATGCCTACTCAACGCCTGCCTCTGACACAGCAGAATGATGTTGGCCTTCAATCAAATACCAAGGTTGCTCTGAAATGAAAGCAATTTGATATCGCAAGAGCGGAGAATGAGGAAATGAGATTGATGTTGTGAGGAGAATGGATAGGTGTTGAGATGAGTGAAGGAAGTCAGTCGAGGTAGGAAGCTGCATAGTCAAGCTTTAACGCAATACTAAAGAGATAGCTTTTGTGTACAGAGAGAGGACTCCTGCCTGGCAGAGGAGCAGTGTGGAGGTGACAGTTCAACCACAGGAACTTAGAACACATAAAACACATAAAAAGCCTTTTTGCTGAAAAGCAGGACAACTTACTTCATGGGTTTAAAGAGAGCCTGGCCGTAGTTCTGAAAGGTCATGATGAGTTTGAGCTGAGTGCCTCCAGACTTCATTGCTGTAGAAGTAAAAGAGAAAACACAGCTATTAGCAAATAATTAACTTGATGCAACTAGACCATAAATATTTTACTGTTACACCAATGAAATGAGCTTCAGTAATGGACATACAGTCTGTTGTGCCTTGACCCAAATCGACCCTGCAGAGTTAAGTTTTAACATAAACAATGGGCTAATTTGATTAGCTACATAAGCTAGTGGTGTTAGCTTGTTAGCTGTTTACTAACCTAACTAAAGTTTTAAATTGAGCTTGGCTGCTGCCAGTACAACATCAATTTCAATATCTATACAAAATAAGTCAGTGCACTATGTTTTTAACCATGGTTAAAATGTATCATTGTGTTAGCAATTTAGCTAGTTGTTGTTGTGTATTTTCACCTCCAGAGGGGCTCTGCGCAATTGAACAAAATGCTTTACACACAAGGCAACTTGTTACAAAAAACACAATACAGAAATGAGTTCAAACTGACCAAAACTACTACCCCACTAGTTTGTCCAACCAGCAGCCTAAAATGGACCATAACTTAATAATTAGCATGATTTTTAGTGTAGCAATTACTTTTAAAAAATCCCCCTTAAGTAAGTCAGAGAACTTACTGCCTTTTCTAATAAAATCTAGTTCATGTTTTCAGGAGTAATTCAATCTTTAGGCTACTCAAAAAACATATGATTTATTGTGTGAAATGGTTAGTTTGGTTTTGTTTTTTAACACAAAAACTCAGTGAGCTTTAGAATAAGACTATTTTTGGGGATGCAATAACCTTGTTATGTTAGGTAGGTCACGTGATGTCACAGGAGCGACTCACGTGAATGACAACCGTACAGTATTATCCTTACAACTTTTTATAACATTTGTTATTTTTTACGGGGCATGAACCCCAGTATGGGTAAAAGTCCATCCACCCCCTCCATCTGTGGACTTTCTCGCTCTTTATACTACTTCAACATCCCGGGGGGCGTCTCCTACAGCCACGATGGTTTTACATTGAAGTCACTTGAAAAGACTTGAATGGGTAGAGTCTGTGTGGGTCACTGAGGGATGTTGATTAAAGTATGTGATGAGTTTGTAAAGACATGGGCTGGTTGGTAGAGGAGACTGAAGTCTGAGCGAAAAATGTGGCTGTTTGTGTTGGGAGTTTTCTGAAAGTGTGAAAACCCTATTAGAAACATTTTAGTAATAGTTTACATTTCAGTACTCTTTACACCTCTTGTACTAGAGTCGTAGAGTATCATTCAAGGATTAGTCCAACTATATATTATTGAAAAATATATATATGTATATATATTTTGTTCATTTACTTTAAACTTTATTACGGCCTTACACTGATTTAATTTAAAAGACAATAGCTCACCTGAACTATCATCTGGAGAGCACTATTGTGTATGTGATCCAGCATGTGTGCATGTAGATCCGCATTTGTTTGTCTGTCCGTGCGTGCGATTGGCACACATGTATGTGTTTGAAAGAGCAAGAGCAAGAGAGAGAGAAAAAGAGAGAGAGAGAGAGAGAGAGAGCCTGTGCTTTGAGGACTGATGTCACAGTGTTTGTTTGATGGAAAGGCAGAGTGAGGGGGTGAAGGACAGCCAGTGCTCGCCGATGCTCAGTTGCTGCGCTGTTTATTCTCTCAGTGTATTCTCTAGAGGGTCCATCTCTTCTCTTCCCTCTCTTCTCTCCATCTCTCTGTCTCTTTGTGTTTCTATTCATCCTGCTATCCTTTATGTTTTCTCCCTTTCTGAACATGATAATGCAGTCTAAAGGCTCTCATGGGACTGGTGCTCGGTGCTTGGGCGAGGACCCTTACGGAGCTAAAACACAACCAAATTCACAAAAAAATAAATGAACAAGGCAGCTATCGAGCCTGATGTTCCTTCAACTGATCGATTGGAAGTAGTGTTTCGGTGGCCTCATGCCAAAGTGCCCTTCCAATCAATGTTCTCGTTTATTCTTACAAACAGGAATCACAAGGACAAGGGAAACTTTAATGAGAAAAAAAAAATACACGTTAAAAAAATCGATTTCTGTGTGCCTTTACCTGCTGCTGTGTGAAGTAGGAGACGTTTTAAACAAAAGGGAAATCTACCTGTTATTGTGAGGAACTCATGCATGCAGGGCAGCTGTATGCAGGGAACGTTAAAATGACATTTCAATTGAGAGTAAGCAACCCGTATTTTTGGAGACTATACGCTGCAAAAGTGTTCACCCTCCTTGTTTTCCACTGTAGACCTCAGCTTTCAAAGTCTTCATTATCATCTATATTCAACTCTATCAGATCTGCTGCTTTCGCACGCGATGACTTCATCAATGAAGGCTGCCCAAAAGAAGAAGTGTGTTGTGCATCCAAGCACTCCTATGCTTAAGTTTAGATAATAACCAACTGCTATTGGCCTCTATTGGTATTCTGCCTCAGGCCAGTGTAAAGGCTCTGTAATTACTAAGCCACCATGTATTTAGCTGGCTAGAGACCCTGAGAACGGCTTCCTCTATCCAACCAGCCTGACACAGAAAGCAAGAGGGAGAAAACTGGGCAACATCTGGAGGAGAAAACAAGAAAAGAAAGTAAGAAACTCTTCCTCTAGTGTCCAGACAGAGATTCAAGTTTTATAAGAAGCCAATCCCATTCCTAGATAAAGATTTAATCTTTGCTTGAGGCCTGTTACAGTTCTGCTATTGGCACATGAACCTGGAATCTGCAATCACTTCTTACACCGAGCGCAAGATGGGCGACCTTGAGTCGACAAGCACTCTTGGAATGTGGGAGCCGTACCGAGCCAAAAAGAAAGACAATCCCCCCCCCAAAAAAAGAAAAAAAAAGAAGTAGAAACAGATTCCATATAACTGGCCTAGCATGGATTAACGCCTCTGACAGGTATCTGCTTGCACTTGCAGGGAAAGCTCTTCAGCTTTCTGTGCAGAAAAAAAAGGAAAAGCGCTTGATAGGAATCAAACCGAGATGTGTGGCTGTGTGATTTGCATAGAGACCAGGTGTTCTCTCCAGCTTGATGTATTCTACTTGTAGGGATACATGAGTGAAGATTGTGGTGTTTTATGACAGCGGGCCTTTCAGATTCAGCGCTGTTGTGCAATAGCCTGCAGCCGATTTCCATCTCTGTGCATCCTTGTGTGTGTGTTTTTAATGTCATCTGTGCCCGTGGCAGCAAGGAGCACGTTGTCCATCACTTAGCTGTGCCTCCTCTTGCCGTTAACCGGTAGACCCAGTTACATTTGAGGCACACATTCCCCTTTGGCTTACTGTAAAGACTGACATACTGTGTGTTCTGGATGGGCTGTTTTCTCCCTCCTTTGACTATACTTCATATTTGACACATATTCTGGTAAACTTGTTATAATTTCAGTGGTTCCCAAAGTGGGGGTTTGAACCCCCAGGGTGTCTTGACACATAACCTAATAAAAAAGTTAAATGATTTAAATTGCATATTTTACCTGTTACTGTGAAAATACATACAACAAAGTACTTGAAATGAAAGTACAACTATAGTCGTTAAGTAAGATTTTTGCTGAAATGATAGTTATATGTAAAAAAAAAAAAAAAAAATGTAAATGTAAATGTAGGTTTGCACATAACTGCAACAATGTATGTTGTTCCCTAAGAATAAAAATACACACACACACACACACACACACACACACACACATCCCCTGTGTGTCTGTTTATGCTATTGTGTATGTCAGCTCAGTCCTACAGTTCATACATGGAGATGACTTGTGTTCTGCTTCTGGCCTTTCTTACAATAAATTACTAAAAGAGGGACAGTGGAAGACCCCAGTCTCTAGCACTCAGTCATTTTGGGGGTCCCGAGCTGAAATCTTTGGGAACCCCTGATTTAGGCTTTATTTTGTGCGGTTTCCTTCGGGACGTTTAATATGTTATCCAATTGGATAAGATTGTTTTTCATCAGAATTCTTATACTTACTTTAAACATAGCAGGAAGGGTCTGATTGGCCTCCTTTTCAGCACCTCATGACAAAGCCAACTATACAGCTCACACAACACTTTATAGTGTATTGCCTCTTTAAGAAAAAGCTAAAGACCAGCTCTTTCATGAATACCTACTAACTTAATGATGATGGTCTCCATATTATTGATGATGATGATGGTAATGACGATGGTTTTTGTTTGATAAAAGACGACTTATAAGATAGTTTCTATACTGATTAGAGCTCTCAAGAACTGTCGTCAATGTTGTGCTTTGCCTCTGGTCACTTCCTGTCAGCACCTGTGTGTCCAATCAGCTGATCGTTTGCCCTTACTGTCATTGTTCCCTTTTTTCTAGATCCTTACTTGTGTTGTTCTTACTCTCTGATGTACGTCCCTTTGGATAAAAGTGTCTGCTCAGTGAATTGTAGAATTGTAGAATTGTGAATATTTCATATATTACTGATAGTTACATTCTACTTTTTTATTTTCATGACAAAAATAATACTGCAGTTTACTTTGTTTCCACGTTTTAATTTATTTCCAAGTTAATTAAGCACCAAAAATTCCAAGTACATGTCAAACAACTTGGTAATAACCTTGATTCTGATTCACATGAGTATGTGACATTGTTATCATGATACTGTTGTGTGGATAGCGGTTTTTGGGGACCATGTCCATCTGTTTTGTTGTAATTTATGTAAAAGCCATATCAAAATAAAAACAGCTGACTTTGTTTTTCACAGGAGTCTCTTCAAACTGAACTTTGAGCTCTGCATTTGTACACAGAGACTCCACACCACTGGAGAGCTGAAATGCCCCAGGTTGAACCCATGAACACCAGCAGTACTTCTGTCCTAAAGGTGTCATTGGAATCTGAAATCTGTAGCTACTCTTTATATATCCAATAATATGGTGTAGATACTAGAAAGTGACTGTTACACAGCAAAATGAGCATTTGACCATCCTGAAACCATAAACAACCTTTTTCTGCCCGATTCTCTTGGTGCTGTCTGTGTAAGGTGTAATTCAGACAGTCCACCTGTGCATTAAAGCCCTCTTTCTGGCTGCTGTTGCCATGGAGTCACCCCCCCCCCCCTCCCTCTTTGTATCCGTATGACTCACCCACACTGGTGATCCTTTGGGTGACCAGGTCCTTGAGGAGAGCTTCGATGACCGGGTTGTGTCTGGAGTACAGCTCGTATCGATTAATCCCAATGTGGAAGCGGAGCCAGTTCGGGTAGGAATCAGCGGTCAGCTCACCTGTGGGGCTGAACTCATCTACAGTGCCTTCAGCGTTCCTGGAGGATGAAGAAGAGGAAGAGGGAAATGCAAAATAAAGAGACAAAGGTTTATTTGTCAATGTGACTGCACAGAACTAAACCTTACTACATTTTAAAATGTTGTTGCATAAAAGTAAATGTTTGAGATGATTTTATAAGTACAACACCATACCATGCTTGATCCTCTGCAGCTTTGGGGTCAAACCTGATGTCCGTGTTGACGTTAAATAGCGTGTCATCGTCTGTCAGAGCAGGGACTGATCTTTTATACAAGGGGTGATCATAGAGAGCAGACAACCTTGAACCTTTAACCGGCACGTTCTTGGTCATAGCCGCCTCCTGGATGAACTGTCTCTTCCTGTCATCGCGCTGCTGCTGCCCGGGATGCTCAATCCTCCTATAAGCCTGCTGCTGCTGTTTTTTGTCCCCTGTGACCGGGCTCCTCTCAAGGCTGTGTGAAGAAACATTAGAGCTGGGCTCGTTGCTGAAGTCCTGGAGGATCCGCAGGGTATGTTTGTTAGGCCAGCCCGGCTGCTGCTGCTGCTGCTTCCCCCAGCTTTGAGGCTCCTCGCTCGGCGTGTGCGAGCAGGAGCAGCCGCTGTTGCCGTGCCTCTCCAGCTTTGGTAACAAGTCTATCATGATGTGCATGGAGCAGGCGACGAGAAACACCATGAGGATCAGGAAGCGGAATTTGCGCAGGAGAATCATCTTCATGGTTTCCCTTTTGAGCAGATGTGAGTATTTACTGCAAATGATGAGCACGCAGATGAACAGGCTGACTACATCGCTGATGATGTTAACTAGACTGGACGCCAATCTAATGAAATATACATTGAACACGTAGAAGCCATCTCCACTTGCCGTCTTAAGTAAAGGATTCAGTGTTCAGCCTTTGTTTTTCAACATCAGAGTTCACCAGATTTCAGAAGCGCAAAATCATCCGCAAGCGTGCAGGTAGAGCAGGTCGCATGGGCTCAGACCAGCGGTGAATATGCGCAAGCCACATCCTCTTCCAAGAAATATCTCAGCAGAAAAGCACAGAATGATTAAAGACAAGTGTTCCCAAAAGCAGCTTTTGACACACGCTCCGAAAACGATACCTTTACACGCCCGTATCTAAAAGGTTCTGGGGTCGCGTTTCTGTCTCGATCCTGTGTAGGGGAAGAGAGCAGCCGTGGATGAGCTGGGACTTCATGTACGGGGAAGTGCAGCTCTTCTTCCCATGTAGTGTTGTGAGGGGGGAAAGTCCAAGAAAAAGTGTTTGGATCCCGTCTAAACTCAGCGATCCGCGGCGCGCTAATTTATCTCACATCCAGTCCGGAGTGATCACCAGACCCGAGGCGAGCCAAAGGAAGGAATACACAAAACAAAACAGGTAACAGGGGGTTCAGAAAATCCTCCCGCGGGGGCCAGGCCACCTCTTAGTATAAGAGAATGCACCTCTTGTAACATGTGTGAATGTGGGTGGGTGTGTTAAATATGATGATGAAGCCAGGGCAAGATCCAGCCTTTTGCGCAGCGTCACTGTGCGCAGATTGGCTGAGGGGAGAGAGAGAGAGAGAGAGAGAGAGAGAGAGCAAGTGAAGCCCATATAAATGCACGTCTGTATTCCTCTCGGAGTAATTCTTCCCTGCACATCCCAGCTGTGCAACAAGAGGGCGTCTTTTCACATTTTTCAGCAGCTGTAGCTTTTTTTTTTTTTTTCGGGTTTCTGAAATTCATCTGCTGGAATCCCTCTGAAATGTCTCCTCTGAGACGACAGTCAATCCGTCGATGATACATTAGACAGGCCTATTAGAGCGCTCATCAGTCTGAGGATCCACTTCCATCCTGCACTGCTGCCACTCAGCCGCAATCACATCTTCAATAAAGTTGAAAGGCTGCATGAAATGAAAACCATAAAGCACCTTTCAGCAGCAGACAGAAAAAAAAATGTCTCTTGAAGTGAAGAAATACACTGACTCCTCTCTTTTTTCCTGCTTTGACCTCCAACTAGAATTTCAGATATTTCAACATGATTTCCTCCAAATAGGCTACGGGTTTAAAACCCCAGTTTTGATAACAAACTACGGTAATACTTTATAATAACCATCATCTAAAAAGGGTAATTAAGGGTAAATAGGTAGTTAATTAACCATTAGTTAATAGTTATTTACTGTTAACAAACAATTAAATGATAGTTAATAATGTTAGCTAATGATTTGTAATGCTATAATTTATGTTATGTTAACAGTTTATTGATGCACACATTATAACATTTCATACACTTTAGAAAGTGTTTGTTAATGATGACCAAATGATTTATAAACCTTTAAGAGATGGTTTATAAAACATCTATAAACATTACAGAGACACATGGACCAGATATTTGTTCATGGTTTGTAAATATCTTATAAAGCATCTATTAGCATTATTTGGATGGATTATAATCCCTTATTGATAGCTTGTAAAGCATCTATAAATATTTTTTAGATAGATAATTAATATTTTATCAATGATTAATAATTGGTGTATAAATACTATAAATGTTCTTAAATATCAGTTGTGTGAATACAAAATACATGTATATATTTGTATTTAAGGAGCTGAATATACTCAGCCTGTATTGTTATGTTTTCTGACATTGTTGTTTGGCCTAGCTTGATTTAAACAAAGGTTAAAACACCTTTGCTAGCTAACGATAGCAGAAGTCCAATATATCCATCAAAGAACATTTAAAAAAACATCATTTTCTCACATAACATTTGTTTTGTGTTCATTACATTTAAAAGATGTAGCCTATCAATTTTATTTAAAACAAATAGCCTATATTTGTTAAAACAGCTCTCACATTTTGCTAGCTTGACTAATACTGCACTGTAGGCTTTGATAGCACAGCTTCTTTTGCTTACTTGAGATGTTAAATTACCTGAAAACAGTTGTTCTTATCCATTTTAAAGCTATGTCAAATCCACATTTAATGTAATTACATAGGTTTCTTATTGGGAAAGAAGATAATAAAACAGAGAGTAGCCTAGCTTTATAATTAGCAGATTTGAATCATCAATTACTCTTACAGATAGGCCTACCGGATACAATTTTGGGCCATATTTGTGTTGGTATCAGAACCACTCTACTTCCCTTACCTGTAAACTCCAAGAAGCCAAGACTCCAAGTCTCCAGCATCCACTCTGTGCACTAATGTTTCTTCTTTATGGCTAATTGGCACAGTATTATGGCTGCATGCATGCTTCCCAGTGGCTGTGAAATAGGCAGCAGAGAGAGACAGGGTTGATAAACTACTTCCGTTTCATAGTATGGCGTATATGCATGAGTAAGTGATCATGCTGTCTGTGATTACCTCCACAGATTAGTTTATAATTAAAAAGAGCCCAGAGAGAAAGGGAGGGGGGGGGGGGGGGGGTCGTTGGCTGTTTCACTAACACAGAATGGAGTCATAAGAGAGGGGAGTGTAGATAGCTTAACATTGGCTCTATGGGGGATTTCCCCAGTGGAACAAAACATTAGTTGTCAGTGTTAATGAAGCTGATACACAGGAAACATGAAACAGCAGAAGAGGAATTTTTGCTCATCTTAAATCCTTAATCAGGCCTCTTTAATTACTCTTTTTAAAAGGTCCAACTTTAAACACAATATGGCATTTAATGTGTCTTCTTATTAAATTCCTTAAATAATAAATAAGGTGATAATGTCCTTATAATGAAACACCATAAACTTAGAATTTCAGAAGTTCAGGGGTGCCGGATAGCGTTGCACTTATGCTGGGCGCACCATGTACAAAGCAACAGTCCTCGTAGCAGCGGACTTGGGTTTGGGTACAACCTCAGCCCTTTGCTGCATGTCATCCCCCACTCTCTCCTCCCGACATTTCTTGTTGCTCTTCAGCTGTCCTATCTAATAAATGCAAAAAAATAATGATAATAATAATTTGAGAAAATAAATGGACTTGAGCTTGTATGTTGCTTTTCTAGTCTTCTTACTACTCAAAGGGCTTCAAAGGTCACAACTCCTATTCACACCCATTCACACACAAATGGTAAATGCTGCTATGCAAAGTGACTATCGGAAGTGACTAATCACATTCATACGCCTTCAACGAGGCAGTGGGAGCCACTGGGTTAAGTGTCTTGCCCGCAGGGACACATCGGACATGTGGCCTCAGGAGCTCCAGATCGAAACCCTCGACCTTCCAGATGAGAGATTACTAACTCTACAAACTGAGCCACAGCCACTCAATTCTCTTGTCTTTTTTTCCCCATATCTTTAAATTTTGATGAGTGCTTTAAGGGATTGATTTAATTTTTCTGTAAGGCCTCAGTCAGCCCAAGGGTTACCAACTGAACAGGTCTGCTCTAAACTCCGTATGTGGGAGTGTGTGTCTGTTTTCGGAAACAGCGAGAATCAGGTGTCAAGCGCCTAACAATGGATTCAACAAACCACTCCATTGTGTATTGTGCCGGAGACAGAGGACAGATTGTTGTATTTCTCCTGGAGGGAGTATTCCCCTGCTTCCCTAAACGACTGTGTAATGGAGGGTTTACACACATAAGATACACTTACCGCTGACATTTTGGTGGCCCTTTACCAGTGACTAATTCCCAACAAAGCAAAAAGGTCCGTCAGATCGCCTGGTCTGGTGGGTGATGTCAGTGATATGGCGAGTGTGGAAGACAAAGCGATGCCTGTTGCCTGTCCAAATGTGTATAGCCCGTAGCCTGCTAGCCTAAGGTGAAACAGGCAGAGATGAATGTGTATTGATGTCAGTCAGACATGGATCACAGCAGTCGATGGGTCAGTGCTTCCTCACAAGGCCTGTCTTGTGCAATTGTTGCTGAGTTTCTCATGAGGAATCAACCGGCCTGCTCGATTCCATCCCCCCTTAGGCTGATGCGTCAACACATTTTTTATTTCACATTTTATCTGCTGTCAAATGACATTAGCGCTGCAGGTCCGGTAATAGAAGTTGACTGTTGTGAGATGACAATTTGCAACTCCCAAATTAATAATCTCACTCTATTACCGGGACAGAAATGCAACCCATCATGACACAGCAGAGTATGTGTAAACAACAAATCTACACATTGAACGATCCAACTGTTCAACCCTTTTTCTTGCACCGTTTTTATTTTCCATAACAGAGATTCTTCTGATTGCAATCTGTGACATAACACACTGATTGAGAATCACCATCTGCCGATAGCCGCTCTGATGACAGTGTTAAAAGCACATAGACATTGCACAGACAAGATCAGAAAGGAGGAGGAAGTGGAGGTGGAGGTGGGCATCCTAACAGATAGCTGACTACAGCACAGGTCGTAAATAAACAAGATTTATGTCCTCTACACTTCACAGTGTCTCTCAGTGAGATAGCACGGGCGGATAGCAAGATAGCACTATCTGTACCATCACAGTGAAGGAGGCTGAGGTCTACTACTGTACAAAGTCTGCCCAGGCAAGATGAGGTGACTCAAGTCCATGTGAGAAATTAGATTTTCATTTTGTAAGTTCCTGTTTAATACATCACAGCAGAGCAGTGGGTTTATTTTTAGCTTTAGTGGTGACCAATTGCCTAGTAGATTTACTGATACTGGTTTGGTTGCATTCCAGAGATGTGGGATTAGTCATTTTAAGAAACAGGAAGTTGTAACAACAGCTCTTTGTATTCTTTTGTAAGTCCCTCCCTGTATTTTGTCTAATTTGAACTTCTCTTGCAGACATTTTTATCATGGTAAAGTCTTACAAAAAAAAAAAAAACACACACTACTCTGAGGAGTCATCTCTAAAAGAGGTCGTGTCCAGACGTTTTTGACTCGGGAGGTCCACCTTGTGCATTGTCTAAAAAGGGTGTGAAGAATTTGTGCACATACATATCCCAATGAGATCAATTTACCATTTCCTTTTATGTGTATTTTATTGTATCTTCAATTTCATACCTAAAGTGTTTTTGTTTTTTGATACTGAACACTGTTTATTAAAACAGCCACAATTTGGGAGAAGAGATGGAAACAATCAAAAAGCTAATAAACCCTACGTGTTATACATGAGTTTCATACTTTGTTGGATTTGACATAGCTTTAAAGGCTTTATATGCAATTTTTCACACTTAAATGTAATAGAAATCAAGTATATCCTCTGAAAATAACTCTGTGAGTCATGACTGTCTACAATGGGTGTAACACCCGAGTCCCACTGTCTGTGATGTTTTCAGAGTTTTCAGAGTCCTATCTTCAGTTTGTTTACATCACCTGGACGGCCGGATGACTCCTCCCCTCATGTATAAAAGTTGTTTAATTGAGGGACTAGAGAAAAGAAGAATAACATACTGTACTCACTGCTTAACTGTGTTTCTAGATCACGCTCATTTCAGGTAAATTTACATGCAGTGTGAAGATACGAGCATAATAAAGATCACTAGCATTAGCATGCTAACACAACAATGCAGCGCAAGTTGTTTTGG